CTATGGTTAAAAATGAAGCTGCAGCGTACATTCATGTTGTTTATATAAGGTTTCGATTGCAGAATCATTCTTTACGTTGTTGTGCATGAATTTTGCATGAAAACCTTTCAAAGTATTTGCATTCAACCCCTCAAGTCCTCCTTTGTTCTACTATGACCCAACCAATTGAATAATGTCTTCAATTTGGTCCCTGGCAGCTTTAGTTTTTGAGATCTCATTGATTGTTTTGCTTCGATTAACTACCATGCTTTGTCAATTGCACTTAAGTCATGACTTTAGGGGCTTTGTGACCGAATGAGCTTGTGTTTGCCTATTTTCTTTAATTTCCCTAAATAAATTGGTTGTTTGACCTTTTCTTGGCTCTTGGGACCTTTGGAGTGCTTAAATGTTTCGATTGAATTCGAATGGTTGACTAAGGTTTGCAATTGGGTCTTTAGTTGGTAATTGGGTCCTTGGTGGGTCATTTTCTTGAAACTTATGCATTATTTGATTTCATTTAAATTGCAATTAGGAGAGATTTGGTGACTTTGTTATACTTTACTATTTGAGGTACCTTGACCTTTTTATTGTTTTGAAGCCATTTTTCTTTCATTTGGACACCATTCAAAGGGGCGGTATAATTTCTTTTATCCCTTTTGTTTCTCTCCTATGTGAACCAACGTGCTACGTGAGAAATACATGTCTACTTTGCTTTCCTAGCTTTCTTTAATTTATTTTCTTTTATTTATGTCATTTACTTTTGCTTTTTATTTAAGTTATTCTTTATGGGGTATGTGTACACCTCTTGGCTTGTAATAGATAGGGCTTGGAGGAGCATTCAATGAAGACCTATCGAAGACGTGTGCCTAGCTAACAAATGTAATAGTTAGGGCTTTAATGCTTGGTTGCATGCCTATGTGTTACGTGTTACTTGCTTTATTAGGTTTTGCATCTAGTCAAGCATGTTAAGTGCTACGTGCTACGTGTTTATGAGTGTTTTGGCATGACTACTCGCTTTCCATAGCTTGAATGTATGTGATGGATGAATGTACGTTTCCACTAGTCCAACGCTAGTCGAAATTCATAGAATGGGCTAGTCCAACGCTAGACCCTTAGGGATTTTCCCTTGTTAGTACGTCATTTGCTTGTTCACCACATATCATGCATTCTTTCTAGTTTTATCATTTTGCATGCCCCTCAAACCCCTTTTCCCTCCATTTTAGGATGTTTTGCATTTCATGCTAGTTAGGGTTCATTTGCGTGAAAGTCCCCTTCCGATAAGGAAAACGAGCGAGTGTGGCTACTCGATAGCCTTAGCACGCTAGTTTTGCCTTCTAATCAAAGGGAAAATAGAAGTCGAAAAGTTAGGAGTCAACCCCCGTACCCGACTTGTTGCATTCCTCTAGGGTCATACTTTCATTTTTATCACCTACATACTATTTTAACCACATTTTTTCACATTTCTTAAACCATACTTTCTCACTACATTTTTCTTATCACGTGCTCATTTTCACCTCACAAATGGAATTCCACTTTACCTTATATATCTATTATTCTATTTTTACACACTTGCACACAAAAAACACTTAAATTTTATACAATTTCACACATGCACCTTTTTATACATTCGCACACTTGCACTTACATTTATTGCATCTTTCATACACTTTCACACTTGCACACTTGAATTCGAACTCTCATTTGCATTAATCGACCTCTGTGAGGTTTTCCTTTGTTGGCCGCCACAATTCATGTGGTTTGGGACCAAAAGCCTCACGAGAGACATCGTAGAATTTAGGATTGCATTTTCCTTTCCGTTTTGCATTCATATAGTCATATCCAACGTGCAATACATACATTGGGTAGAAATTAGGAAAGGTAAGGTTAAGTCGCGCAACTAGCCTTGGCTAGGTCAAAGGGGTGCCTTGGATTCTATCCTTGCCTTCCCCTTTGTCAAACGTGACTCCCGAACCTTTTTCTTTGGCTTACGTGGACTAGGAGTCGTTTTTTAAAAGGGTTTTACTACTTTGTCTTTAAAAATTTATTTTTTTAGGTGACTTGGTACACCTTAATCATTACCAAGTGGCGACTCCAATTTCTCATTCAAAAACCTTTTTAAAAAAAACTATTTTTTGGGTCAAATCGTCGCTTTTTCCCAAGTCCCATTGAGACCCATGTCTTTTCAACTCACAAAAATCATTCTCCAATCACAATTGAATCAAAAACATCTTTCTCAAACCATTTATTCTTATTTATCAAAAAATGGGGCGCGACAGTTGGCGACTCCACTGGGGACTTCCTAAGTGGGTCCAAGCATTTTGACTTAACCATTCGTTTCCTTTTTCTACCCTTTCTATGCATGGCATGTGGATATTAGGATTGCATCTCTCATTTTTTAGGACCTTTTGTCTTATATACGTAATCAAACCAATCCCTCGACTCACGAATGTATGTTTGAATGAATGTTTACTTGTTATCTCGCGCTTGCATTGCATTTTGGGAGGTATGGGTCACCCTAGAGCCTCGCGTTGGTTCTTGACCCTTCCCCTCCAAACGAGCACTAGCATACGAGCATACGCTTTACTTCTTTTATCCCTTTTATTTTTCTTTAGTGGCTTGTCACGCCACTCCACCCTATTAGGATTAGGTGACCCATTTGGACATGTGATCACGACACGATGTGTGTGTAGCATGATCCAATGGGTCACTCAATCTTCCACTTTAAACTATGGGTTGATAGCCTGTAGCTTTTAGTCGAAGGTTGAGAACTTTGATAGATTCACTCAAACACGTAGCCGTGACACGATGTGTGCGTAGCGGTGTTTGGGGAATCGCTCGAGCCACCGACAAAGAACCTTGGGATTGATGACCCTTGGTTTCTAAGTCTGAAGGCTCGGGGACCTGAGCTTATCGAGTCTAGATGCATTAGCGAACCCCAACCTCATGCATCCATACTAGAATTGCCTAGGGTAGAGTCAACCTACCCTAAATTAGGAAACACTATTTCACGAGGGGAGGGGTCCCACCCCTCTTTCCTTTTCTGTCTTTGTTGCTTAATTGTCCTATGTGTTATGTGATTACGTGTTGAACTCACGTTTCCTTGTCTCTTGTCTTTTGCATTCACAAACATTAGGAAATAAGAGGTCTGGCATGACTTTCTTTTAGAACCTACCTTTGTAGACAGGCTATTGCACGTTTAAAGATTTTGGTATATTGCATTCATAGATTAATGATTGCATATCATTCTAAGCCTACCCTGGCAGATAAAGGGTTCCTTAGGTCACATTTCATTTCGAATTGCATTTTTTTTCCTGCTTTAATAACTGGCATCATGCATTAAACCCTAGAAAGGGAATGCCACTTAGGGGATCCCGTGTTAGGAATAAAACCACCTTGTGTCTCGGATACTTAATCCAAAGACACTTGCACGTTTACATTTTGTACCATCCAAAGGGGTAGTGCACAAGGTAAGGTAGGATCCGATCATTTTCATAGAGTGATCTTTGGAATATGAGCACCTAATAATCACTTTTTGGCCATTTTATCAAAAATTGGTAAAAATCCCTTGCGTGAAGGACATTAATTTGAAGAAATTCACAAATGATTCCTCCTTTTGAGACAATAAATAAATTAAGGCCAAAATTTGATTTTTAGAAGGTCATAGACTAATGCACTTCAATAATTTTGAAATAACCAATGGCCGGATAATTCAACCAATCCATTTTGCCGATTCATTCGATAAACCATCATTTGACCAATTTACCCTTTTTAGGGTCCACTGGTCGATTTTGAATAAATCGTCAATTTCATTTGACCAATCTACCTTTTTTAGGGTCATTTGACCAATTTACCCTTTTTAGGGTCGTTTGACCAATTTACCCTTTTTTAGGGTCACCTGGTCGATTTTGAAAAATCATCAATTCATTTGACCAATTTACCCTTTTTAGGGTCACCTGGTCGATTTTTCGACCAATTTATCTTTTTTAGGGTCATCCGATTGATTTTTGAATAAATCTTCATTTCATTTGGCCAATTCACTCATTTTTTTTTAGGACAATCTAGTTGATCTTTGAATAAATCACCAATTTCATTCAATTCATTTGATTAGCTAGGGCAATTTTGTCGATTTTCGATAAATCATCAATTTCGTCCGATTCATTTGACCAGTTTACCCTTTTAGGGTGATCTGGTCAATTTTGAATAAATCTTCGATTTCATTCAATTCATTTGACCAATTTCAGTTTTTAGGATGAACCAGTTGATTTTGAATAAGATTCTCAATTTCATGCGATCAAATTCCTTTTTTAGGATGATCCGGCCAATTTTTAAGTGATTTTTTTTAAATTTCACTCAATTCATTTGACCCATTTCCCTTGATTAGGGTAATTCGGTCGATTTAAATAAACGGTCAACTTCATTTAACCCATTTGACCAATTTGGGTCTCAATGTCGAATTTCAAATAGGGAAACCTAGTCGATTTTGAGAAAAACATCCATTACATCCAGCCATTTGATCAGTTGGAGTTTTGACCCGTGCTTCACTGAGAAAACTTGGTCAACGAATTCAAATCTCTTCGATAGGAAATTCGTCAAGGTCAAACCCGTGCGTTTTTGCAAATTCTTGTATCGATCACAAATGATCAATCCATTCGAACGTTGACCTCATTTTGACGAATGTCTCTTGTCACTCCAATTGACCAAATTTTTCGAAATTATTTTTCACTCCATGAGTTGATCGGATCCATCAGGTATTGTATAGTGCCTACTCTAGCGGATTGCATTTTCATGCTAGGCCTACCCTTGGCACAAAAAGGGTTCCCCCATAGGACATGCATCCGAATTACTTTAATTGTTACTAACTCCTGTCTTTTCCTTTTCTTTTTTTCTTTTCTTTTTGACAGCAGTCAATCAAGAAGGGTATCTAATAAGGGTTGTCTTACATTCTCAGGTAGTATATAGCTATTAGGAAAAGCCCCATTATCACCCGATCACGTAGTCGAGCTTCAAGAGATAGTGTAAACATGAGTACCCGTCCAGAATCATTTGATAGGCCTGCAACCACATCGCCGACTGACTCGGCAAATCTGGGAGCTCAACTGAGTGAAGTTCTAAACCAATTTAATGAGCTGAGCGTTGAAATGATGGCCCAACGGCGCGTAATTGATCAATTGGTAGCTGGTGGTGCTAGCGGTGAACAACATGAGCCCTTACCTCCTGGCCAATCTAAACCTCAACCCATATTTTTACCTTATACTCAAACCTCTGTTCCTTCACCATTCATAAGCCCCCCTGAGGAAGCCTTTACTTATCCCACTCATGGCCCACAGCCTACTTACGTATCTCACATCCAAATTAACCCTTCTCATGCCCAAATTCCCCAGAATTATCCGCCAATCACTATGAGCATGCCATTTGAACCTCAAGGACTACATTATTACTCCACCACTGAGCCATTCACCTTAGATACCGCCGCCCAAGGAAAGGCTGAAGCTGGGGAGTCATCCGCACCGGTTGATAAGAATTTGCTAAAAAGATTGGATCGGTTTGAGGAGTTCATAAGGAAAAACCAAGGTCTGAGCAAACAAGGAGGTCTAGACTACAACGATCTGTGCCTATTTCCGGATATGCAATTGCCAATGGGTTTCAAAGCGCCCAAATTTAGCAAGTACAATGGAACTGGCAATCCCAAAACACACCTTCGGATGTTCGCAAACAAACTTGGAAAGCCGATAGATGATGAGAATTTACCTGTACGTTTATTTCCCGAGAGCCTAGAAGGCGACGCGTTGGATTGGTATTCCAATTTGAAGCCTGAGGATATGAGATCTTGGATGGATTTGTCAAATGCTTTTATGAGGCAGTACGAATACAATTGCGAGCTCGCTCCAACGAGGGCCACACTTGAGGGGACTAAAAGAAAACCATCTGAGGACCACAAGACGTACGCGAAGAGATGGAGGAAATTGGCCGCTAAGGTGGAGCCTCCTATGACCGAAAATGAGATTGTTCGCACGTTCATCAAAGCTCATGACCCGCCTTACTTTGAGGAAATTTTTCGAATGACCGGGTGTTCCTTTGCCGAAATTGTCAATAAATTGGAAGAATTTGATGAGTTTGTGAAGGCCGGAAAAATTGTTAATGTGTCAACATTGAAGATGCAACTAGAGGCTCTGCAAGACCAGAATAACAGTGGGAAGAAATCCCAATTTAAAGGAAAAGAAGAGGAAACTGCTTTTGTTGGGGATCAGGGCCCCTCGGCCAGACCTAGATTTTCAAACCGCCTTGCTTATTCGTCACCCTATCCATACTACCCAAACTCCCGTCCTATCCACCATACTACCATTAACCATTCTCGACCTCGACCAAATTATCCAAATGTACTCATACCACCCTTTCAAAATCCTCAACCAAATTTCCAAACTAGACCTCGCCCTCCTTTTAACCCAAGACCTATTCCACCCCCTAGCCCAAATTACCAACGAACCAGTGACACTCAAAATTCAACGTCACACCGAACCTTCACCAATCTAGGTCGGCCTGTTGACCAATTATATGAGCAATTGAAAGCTGTCGGGAAAATTGGTGTTATACCTCCTAAGATCTATTCTAAGCGCTTTCCTCCTGACTATGACCCTCAAGCAGTCTGCGCTTATCATTCTGGAGCTCCCGGGCATTCCACCAACGATTGTCGGGCATTGAAACATAAAATCCAGGATATGATCGAAGTCGGAGAAATAGTGCTAAGGAAAAAGGGTGAACAAGGACCGAGCATAAATACAAATCCCTTTCCCGAACACAAGGACGTCTTTGAGGCATCCAACCCCAATGAAGAAATCTGAAAATCCTGGAAATGGCTGAATTAGTGAGGTTCCTTTTGAAGGGAAGTTTTGATAAATTTGGGGAGTTGTTTTTGTTAAAACAAATGAAAATCGTTCATACATGTGTCTTTTGTTTAAATATGTTTTTTGTAAATAGTTTTCAATCAAGTGACTGCTAAAGACACGTTCCATGATATTAAGTATGGTTTTTCAATAAAATGTACAGTCTTATATATTGTGACTTACACATTCTTTTCAGATGACCCAGAATAAAACCGTCTGATCCTTTGGATATCACTGTTCAGAAATTTGATGGCAGCGATCTCATAAATGTGAATGTGAATTTCAAAAATGAGATGAGTGGGAAAGAGGCATCTGAAAATGTTTCAAAGAGGCCCGAATGGAATAAAAGAAGTCCAAGCCGAATCGGGATCAAGATTAGGCATAAGAAGCAATTGAACACAGTCCATCGTGGTCAATATGATCAAGAGGATTGGTCTGTGATTACCACTAAAGGGTCAAATCATGACCATTCAGACGAGAAGGCAAAGCATTAAGGTGATTTTTATCAGTACAAAATGAAGCCAAAAGGAGAGTTTGCCGCAAATTGTTGAGGTGCTCTTATCATCAAAAAGGTATCGCCTGGTGGAGCACTTGTTCCCTTAGCCAATCAATTTGGAGATGTGTAAGAAATTTTCATATGATAAACGAAAGTTTTCTTTTAGAGTTAATGCGAAGAACGGAATGAAAGTCAGGCCCTCTTCTTTTCCCATTAAGACATTATATCCCTAGTTATCCCTTTTGAGCCTTCAGAATAAAATACTTCATTTGGCAACCCCTGAGAATCGCAAACCCCACATCGGGGCAAAGTTGATTTGAAAAAGAAAGAAAAGTCCCAAGAAGTGAAAAGCGATACAGCAACAAAATCAAAAGAAGAAAAAGAACCTCAGTTGAGCATAAACTGGGGCAAATTTTGTGAAAAATTCAAAAGAAAGGCAGAAAGTCGAAAAATCAAAAGAAGAAAGAAAATGAAAGAGAAAAGCATCCATTGAGCATAAACTGGGGCAAATTTTCAAAAGATGGATGAAAAGGGGAGAAAATGAAAGAACAAAGAATCTCAGTTGAAAATAGACTGGGAAAAGTTTTGGTTTAACCCTAAAATAGGGTTAACATGAAAATGCGATCTCAGATCATTTGAACTACTTTTTGAAGTCTGCCTTCAAGCTTTAACCTTTCCTAGCACCTCACCAGACCCCATTACAAAAGCCAAAAAGTCCTGGCTTCCGTTCTTGGCATTACCTCTTTTAAGGAAATTTTCTAAGTCACATGGCAAATGATGTCAATACGCCTTCACTCATGTTGTAAGGGAAGGGGTTGTCGCACTGATGCCATTATTTCTTAAAATACATTTTTTGAGTTGATAAAGGCTATTGACAAGATTTGTTCATCAGGTGAAAATCCGAAAAGAGAACCTTTGAAAAGAAAAGGAAAAGAAAGAAAAAAGAAAAAAAAGAAGTGGGAATAGCCTTAGTGAAAACCTAGAAGGGCGCTAAGGTAGAGTTTCATGAGAAAAGTGAGGTTGAAATTAGAAAGCTGGGGATTTGATTCATTTGGGATTCCTCCTCGCATTATGATTTTTCTGTTGCCGACATTGAACTCAGGGCAGATGATATCTAAAGGGTCAAGCGTGGCAATTTGTTTGAAGTCGGAATACTTTGGTTTTTCAAGCGTAAATTGTCAAATTATATATTCATTTCTTTAAAATTAATTTTCTTTCAATAAATGATTGTTTTCATGTTACAAAAATTTGTCATTTTGTTGTGTAAGTAGACTATTCTTTCATCAGATTCATGATCTTATTTATCTCTTTAGTCTCATCGGTTGGCAATCCCCCTGATTTATCGAAAATCCCTGGATACCAAGGGCCTTATTAACATTAGAAGTCAATGGAATTTAATCAGATCACAGAGCAAAGTTGAGTTTTCGAAGTATCAAGGGGGAAAACATCAATGTACTCATGTTTACACATTTCTTGAAGAAGGAATTGATCGAATGGTGGTGGCATTATTTGTTCTTTCTTTTGCAGATTCATACGCGTTTCAAAGGACGAAACTGGGGCAACCTTTTGAATTGAGAAATGTCGCCCAAGAATTTTTATGTGACTGAGGGGTTCGGACCGAGGAAAAGGTGAATCAAAGTTTTAAGGAGGAGCAACCCTGCCATAATGCAAATCAAGTGATTGGTTGCACAATAATTTGTGGAGACTGGGGCAAAATTATTTCTTGAAAAGTTTTTCGTTAAAAAAAAAAAATCAATCAATCAAAATTAGGTTTAACTTCTTATTTCTTGAAGAAATCAATTTCAAATCTCAACCTTTTAAATTCTTGTTGTCTTTTTTGGCAAAATTTCAGCATCTGCCATACACCCTCCTATCCCTCACTTTCGTGACAATCACACTCAATTTCTTGACCAATTGAATGGCAGGATTGGGTTTTACCCCAAATATCCCGTTGGGCCTGGACTTTGTGCCGCCAACATTCCAAGAATCACGTTGGGCCTGGACTTGGTGCCGCCAACATTCCAAAAATCACGTTGGGCCTGGACTTTGTGCCACCAACATTCCAAAAGTCAAGTTGGGCCTGAGTTTCGTGCCGCCAACATTCCAAGAATCACGTTGGGCCTGGACTTTGTGCCGCCAACATTCCAAAAGTCACGTTGGGCCTGGACTTTGTGCCGCCAACATTCCAAAAGTCAAGTTGGGCCTGAGTTTCGTGCCGCCAACATTCCAAAAATCACGTTGGGCCTGGACTTTGTGCCGCCAACATTCCAAAAGTCAAGTTGGGCCTGAGTTTCGTGCCGCCAACATTCCAAGGATCACGTTGGGCCTGGACTTGGTGCCGCCAACATTCCAAAAGTCACGTTGGGCCTGGAGTTTGTGCCGCCAACATTCCAAAAGTCAAGTTGGGCCTGAGTTTCGTGCCGCCAACATTCCAAGGATCACGTTGGGCCTGGACTTGGTGCCGCCAACATTTCAAAAATCACGTTGGGCCTGGATTTTGTGCCGCCAACATTCCAAAAGTCAAGTTGGGCCTGAGTTTCGTGCCGCCAACATTCCAAGGATCACGTTGGGCCTGGACTTGGTGCCGCCAACATTCCAAAAGTCAAATTGGGCCTGAGTTTCGTGCCGCCAACATCTCAAACATCACGTTGGGCCTGGATTTCGTGCCGCCAACATTCCAAAGATCACGTTGGGGCTGGATTTTGTGCCGCCAACATCGCAAAGTTCACGTTGGGCCTGGATTTCGTGCCGCCAACTTCACAACATCCCGTGGGTCTATCCCAAATTTAAATTTCTGTTCGGGTCTATCCTGTGGATCTATCCCAATTTTACATTTCTGTCCGGGTCTATCCCGTGGGTCTATCCCAATTTTAAATTTCTGTCCGGGTCTATCCCGTTTGCATTTTCTGTTCGGGTCTATCCCATTTAAATTTCTGTCTGGGTCTATCCCATTTTACAGTTTCTGTTCGGGTCTATCCCGTGGGTCTATCCCATTTAAATTTCTGTCTGGGTCTATCCCATTTTACATTTTCTGTTCGGGTCTATCCCGTGGGTCTATCCCATTTTTTTCATTTTCTGTTCGAGTCTATCCCATTTACGTTTCTGTTCGGATCTATCCCATTTTACATTTTCTGTTCGGGTCAATCCCGTTTTTACATTCATGTTCGGGTCAGTCCCATTTTTAGAATTCTTGTTCGTTGGAATCATTTTTGCAGCCGAATAATGCAGGTAAGTATTTGGTGTCTACTTCTTTGTCTCAAGTTTTTCCAAAACTCAGACAAAGAGGGGCAAACTGTAGACACCAAATTTTGAATTGATTTATATGTTTCGTTTTAGTGATAAGTCTTGTCTATTGATTTTTGTCTATCTCATGATTTTTGTTTTAAATGGTTTGCATTTTTGTTTTGCCCCTTTAGATGTTATTTTATTTTTAATTTTATTTACTTTTTAGTTTTTTAGTTTTTGTTTTTTTTAAGTTTTAGCGTAGAAAATCATGAAAAAATGAAAAAAAAGGAAAAATCATGAAAAAGAGGAAAAAGAAAAAGAAAAAAATAGCATTTTTTGTTTTATTTATCTATTTTAGTCATTTCTACTTAATTTAAATTTTGTTTTTGTTTGGTTCATTTAGGAAAAACGGAAAAATCATGAAAAAGAGAAAATCATGAAAAATGGAAAAAGGAAGGAAAAAGGAAAATTTGTTCACAAAAATATGTTTTTTTTCTTTCTTTAAATTCAATCTTTTGGCGCTTTATTTTTATTAAGTTATTTTGAAAAAAAGAAAAGAGAAAAAAGGAGGGAAAGATTTTGAAAAAGTTTAAAAATGTCCATTTTTGTTGTTTAGTTTTTTAAATTATTATTATTATTATTACTTAGTTTTTGTTGACAATTTTGTTAATTTGTTATTATTATTTATTTATTTTTATTTTTATCAATATTGCTTGTTGAAAAAAAAAAAAAAGAAAAATGAAATGATGAGAACCGCGGCACGCAAGCTGCGTTTTGGTCGCAGCTTGCAAGAGGACTTTGGGGCAGCCCCTGGCTGCAAATTACAGAAGAAGGACTGAAGGTTTTAGGGTGAGGGAGGTTCCGTATAAATAGAAAAGAGGGACAGCAGCCGCAAGGGGGATAAAAAAGTTTTGGCTGTGAGAAAAGGCTAGGGTAAGAAAGAGATGGAGTGAGAGAGAGGGCTACGGGCTGGGTCTGAAAAAAAGAGAAAGGCTTGTGAAGGAGTTTCTGGAGCTGAGGGAAAAGCAGAGCAAGGAGAGGAAGGGTGAGGTGAAAGCGGCGGCTGCACGGCAGAGGAAAACAAAAAGGGTTACGACCGCAAAACTGAAGAACAAAAAGAAAGTAGGAGAGACGGAGAGAAAAGGAGATTGGCTGCGGGAAAAGCTTGGAAAGGCTGGAGAGGAAAAGGCAAGAAAAGCTGAAAAACGAGAGAGTGAGAGAGAAAGGAGGAAGCTTCAGGCAGTGGCAGGAGGGGAAAGAGAAAATTGCAGGAAGTTTTTTAGCTGAGAGTTGATTCAGGTTGATTAATCTGATCTGTTCGTGACCTTACTTCGACAAATCCCAACCTCCATCTGGGGAAGTTTTTCTTGATGCACCATCTACAACCAGCAGCGAACAATTGGTATTCAGAAAATATTTGGAGAAGCCCACTGCAACATTTTCAAATCGGGGTCTGAAACTTGCTGCCTGCACTGGATTTGAGGAACGGCGATCGAACGGCGAACAAAGGTTTCTGCTCTGTGTCCGACACTCCAAGCGTGAGTTCCTCAGTCTCCAACTACTCGGAGGTAATGAACAATGAATTCTGGTCGATATGCTTGATTGGTTTTGATTAGAGACAGTTATTAAATGGCCGAGAAACCTTGCTGCATTTTCTTTTATTTGTCGGTCGATTCAGATTCTTGGTTTGAGTTTTGCAACAAAATCTTGTGATTGTTTGAGTCGATGTTGAACAGTGAAGGTCTTGGTATTCGATGAGTTAATTTGCATAAT